GTAAGATAATAAAAAAAATAAACAACACGGTATGGAAAAACAACTTATTGTATAAATAGACCTCAAAGGAGCTGTTCGAAATGCTACTACACACAAATTACAGCGACGTATCAAAAACCGCCTAACGTCTCTCAAATGATGTGGAGTTATTCTGAGAGCAGCATTCCGGATTCGTCGTACAAGTTCCTCTTGCGAGTTAACAGGCGTAGAGTAAACTGCATCCTTAATAAATCACCAAACAAAAAAATCCAAAGGTGTTAGATCAGGCGATCGCGGAGGCCACCCAACTGGACCTTCACGACCCAACCATCTCTGTGGATACTCTGTATTCAGCCAGTTTCATACAACGTAGGAGTAATGGGAAGGGCATCCATCTAATTGAAAAAACGAGTCTATTCGCTGTTGAAGAGGAACATCGTCTAGCATGTTACCATGCTGGGCAGTTAAAAATTTAAGAAATAATTGACCGGTTAATCTGTTGGGCAGGATATAAGGTCCCAACAAAAAATCGCCAAACACTCCCATCCAAACGTTTACACTAAATTCTGGTTGGATCCTCATAGGTCGAATCAGACGTGGACTTTCATTATCCCAAACGTGATGATTATGGGAATTTACTACACCACGTCTTGTGAAACAGGACTCATCCGTCCAAATAATTTTATTAAGAAATTCTGGATTTTCTCTTACCTGATTAAGTACCCAATTACAAAAATGTACGCGACGTTGTGCATCTTCAGGTTGTAATGCTTGTACAGGCTGTAAATGGTACGGATATATACCATTTTGTCTTAAAGTTTTCCATAATTGTCGGTTTCTTGCAAACATATTTAAAATTCGTTGCTCTTGTCTCCCACGCCTTTACCGAATTTGTTCACCTACTACTGCCCGGAACGGTTTTAAACCTTGGCTTCTAAACTGTTGGTGTATTTTTACAAAAACGCTTGAATGGGGTTGTCTTCTGTTGGAAAACCTTATTCCGTATTCGCGAGCAGCACCAACAGAGTTTCCATCGCAAAATCCATACAAATAATGCATGTCTGCATACTCTTCATTACTAAACTGACATTTTTATGAGAAACAGAAATGTATATTATTAAAACCGAAAACCGTCAATCGAAAAAACTTAATTAAAGAACGTCCACAAACGTCAAACCATTGCTACAATACCTTGACAATTCAAAAACAGACATATTCACGGCACACTTTGTAACAAGTAAATAAATAAATTAAGCAAATCTCGAACCTATTCATGAAAATGTTTTATTTCTTACTAAACAAAGCGAGATAGAAAAAAAAGTAAATAACAAAAAAGTTGTATTTTTGATAGCTGAATCTGAGAAAAATTTACCAAAAAGCAGTAGCGTACCATATTTTTTTCTATTTTTATCAAGCTGGTATCTTGTTGTGACGCCACTGGAGAAAATAGGACAAATTAAATTATGTGAGAAAATGAGTATTATTATTACAAACAAAGTTGACAAGTTTCAACAAAGTCTAAAAAGGGGTAAACGCGGACACCCTGAAAAAAAAAACAGGGTTAAAAGGAACTATGACGTTCAAGCAATTTTATTATATGAATCATTCAAAGGGTCATTTTAGATGAAAAAACCGCGGAGTACTATTAAATTAGAGGTTGGAAATCGGAGATAGGGGTGAAAATGCACCCCTTTCAGTTTTTTAATTGTAGCTCGAAAACAAAGAAAAATTGCGCTATAGTTCATATGAAAAAATATTTAGAGAACTGAATTTCCCATCGAAATGACTTATTTATAAAATTTAAAAGGACAATTTTATGCAAAAAATCATTAATAAACAATTTGAAAAAAGCAAAAAATACGTTTTTTTTTGTTTTTTTTTTTTTTTTCGTCTCTAGTTTTTTTGAGTAAAGATAGGTATAGGAATTGCTTCATAGAAAAAAAAAATAGATAAAATTTCCTTTAAAATAAGAGTTTAAAGTATTTTTGTATGAAAATTGACTGACATATGGCCGCTCAAACTTACAATTAGCCAATTTTTCGATTTTCGTCGCGTTTTAATTATCATTTTTTGCAAAAAGGAAGGAAATAAGACGTTAAAGGATTTTCATCACATGACTTGTTCGAAGGGTCATTAAAAATTAAAAAACTGCGGGGTGCTATTAAATTAGAGGGCTGAAATTGAAGATACAGGTGAAAATGCACTTTTGCAGTTTTTTAAATATAGCACAAAAACGAAGTAAAATTTCGGTATAGTTCATAAAAAAAATTTTGTAGAGAATTGAATTTCCTATCGAAATGGCTTATTTAAAAAAAAATGTATGCAAAAAATCGTAAATGAACAATTGTAATTTTTTTTACTTTTTTGACTATTTTTTTAGTAGAAGTAGGCAAAGAAAATTACTGTACAAAAAAACTAGATGAGATTTCCTTCAAAATTATGCGTTTTCAAATGTTTTGGACTAATATTGACTGAGTTATAACCGGTCAAACTTAAATATTTTTTAGAATTTCGTCATTGTTAACATAATAATGATTATAATTTTTATTATTTTTACAACAAATTGGTTCTTTACTTAATAAGAAAAAATTTGAAAAGTTTTATTTGTTAATAATAAATAAAGATCTTCACACCAAAATAAAAAAATCTTATATTTTGCTTTTTTAAAAATTGTTTATTAACGATAAAATTTTTCTTTTAAATTTTTTAAATAAGCCATTTCCATGGGAAATTCAATTCTCTACAAAATTTTTCCTATGAACTATACCGAAATTTTGCTTCGTTTTTGTGCTATATTTAAAAAACTGCAAAAGCGCATTTTCACACCTATCTTCAATTTCAACCCTCTAATTTAATAGCACCCCGCGGTTTTTTCATTTTTAATGACCCTTCGAACAAGTCATGTGATGAAAATCCTTGAACGTCGTATTTTCTTCCTTTTTTGCAAAAAAAATAAGAATTACAACATATAAGGGGAAACGCGATGAAAATCGAGAAATTGGCTAATTGTAAGTTTGAGCGGCCATATATCAGTCAATTTTCATCCAAAAATACTTTAAACGTCTTATTTTGAAGGAAATTTTATCTACTTTTTTTTTCTATGAAGCAATGCCTACACCTATCTTTACTCAAAAAAAATGTGGGGCCAAAAAAGTAAAAAAATCGAATTTTTTGCTTTTATTCAAATTGTTTATTAACGATTTTTTGCATAAAATTTCGATGGGAAATTCAATTATGTAAATAATTTTTCCTATGAACTATAGCGAAATTTTGCTTCGGTTTCCAGCTACAATAAAAAAAATGAGAGGGGTGCATTTTCATTCACCCCTATCTCCAATTTCCACCCTCTAATTTAATAGCACTCCGTGATTTTTTCATCTAAAATGGCTATTTGAACGATTCATGTAATAAAATATCTTGAACGTCATACTTCCTTTTAAAATCCTATAATCAATAGTCTATATTCACTAATTTCAATAACGCCTTGACAGTAGATAGATCTTTATTAAATAATAATGCAAGTTTAACCAATGATTCAGTTATAGATTTTGGTGCATAACTATTTAAATAGTAATAATCCAAACTGGATTTATTCAATTAAGACATTGCCTGATGTACATCAGCTTCCAGAACAGATTGCATAAAAAATGAAGATGCAGGTTTAGGTGTATTGTTAAAAAAGGAAAAGCTATCAACATTAGCATTATCACCTAACTGGAGAACTATATCACAAATGGAGACGAAATATGAACTATATTCATCCGGTTTAAGTGTACTAAATCCATTTAACATGTTTACTTTCCTTTCCTTGTTCACAATTTGCCAAATAGTTTTACTTTTATTTACCAAAGAATTTATTTCATTTATATAGAAATTAAATTTTTCATATCTTAAAACTTTTCTATATTTTTTTTCTGAGATATTAAAAGAAATAACAAAACCGTTAAAATCATAGAAGATAACCAACATTTTTTAATATAACTGAAAGTCACTAAAATTGGCCAGTAATTTAAAACTGTTTCCATTTAATGGAATGTCAGTTTATTGAAGTTAGGGAAAATATTTTTTATATTTCCCATACCAATATAAAATTGTCAAGTTTTTTATTAATTTATAAGCTGCAAAATTAGTAAATGCTACATTTAAAATCTACAATACTACTATAGAAAATTCTCAATTAAAGTATGAAAATATGGGTTCTGTTTTTCTTTGCTAAAATAATATTGAAAAACTGATTAAAAAGTTTATTACCGAAATTTCTATATTTTTTCTTGCTAATTCATGTATGCTTATAGTATCTTAAAAGTACATATAAGCAAAAATATGCTGTGGAAACATTTCGGATGGGTCACATAAGAATAATTTAAAAGACAGCATTCTCTTTCATTTAATAATTTTTAATTTCCAAAGATTATTTATTACAAATAATTAAAGCACCATTTGACAGAACCATTTTTTAAAATAAAAATGTAAATTTATTTGATAAATATTATCGGTGGAGCCAACACTATTAAAATATTTAATTTTACTTTTTATATAGAAAGTGGACGACTGTGTTTTTTTATTGTAATACTTATTCTTTAAGACAAAAATGTTAATACTTTCTTACAAGTAAAAGTATAGAAAATTTTCATATTAACATTAGCAATATTATCTTTAGAAGTTCATATTTTGAATAACTGAAGAACTTTAATAAGCATATAAGTATCTTAGGTATATAACATCTCGAAAAAATATATAAAATGGTTAACAAACATCTTTCTTAGTCTTAGCTACTAATTTAACTCCACAAAAGTTACTTTTCAGACACCAATGCCGTAGTCTTATATAATAATGTTTTATTATAATAAAATGATCACTACTAATCGAACATTTCTTCTTATACAAATAACATTTGACAGGAAAAAATCCTCCCTTGGATAATACAAGTATCTAGGTTTATAATTCAACCTATTTTATTTAAATTTTCACTAATAACTAATCTCAAGTTATAATATGACACTATTAGAATATTTGTTCTGTACTATTCAACGGGATACCATACAAATTCAAAACTTTTCAGTCCAAATTGTTTTTCACTTTCTTCTTTAGGCGTATCAGAAGAATCTAGTCCGAGATTTATAAATTTGAATTTTGGTCTGTATCCATTTTCATCCGCAACATACGTAACTACTCTGCTAATTCCATCTCGGCCATTAACAAAGTATCCTCCTATCTTTGCTCCGTTCTTTAAACCTTTCTCATAATGACCATGGAATCCAACAGTGTAGTGGAATTTGTATAAAATGTCCTTGATATCTTTTTCTTCGATTCCATTTGGTAAGCCATCAATCATACCAGGATATTTGTCTTTAATTGGGATATCTACTGGTTTGTTTCCGCCTACGTGAATGGTGTTGTCCGATATGGATATTGGAGGTAATTTAGAAGTTTGACGAGAAGGCTGCAATAAGGGGTTAGGTCCAAGTCCAGAGCCAGTGTTTGATGCAATATTTCCATCTAAATAAATCAGAGAAGTTATCGAAAGGCTTCTAAAATATTGTCGTTTTATAATTTGAAAGTATGTCAAACAGTTCCAAAATAAATTAGTATTCTGTACTACTTTCCATTAATTTTAAAAGTATTATTTTTGTATTACAAACTACTATTTTTAATTCGGTGCTGACAACTTACATTATTTAAAAAATAATTACGGTTTCATTAATGAATATGTATCTTAGACAACTGAAGATGTGATTTTTTAGAAAATATTTGCAAAATTTTTATCGAACTATTGTGTTATCTCAAATACTGCCCATTCCTGAAACATCAGCTTTTCATCAGCATTTTCATCATCAGCATTTGCGGTTTTTATCAAAAATAACACAGCCCCACAAAAAAAGTGGAATATCCGTAAAACAAGACCCTGGTGTCTATGTTTTTGGGGTCGCTGAATCCGAATCCGGTGTCCGTTTGACTCGACTAGCTCTGGTTGAAGGTCACTTGAAGGTCAAATGTAGAGAATCAATTGCCAACAAAGTAATCATACATACCCGTTTGATCCGATCAAGTCTGCGTTAAGGTCAGTTCAAGGTTAAATTTAGAGAATCGATTGCCACAAAGTAAACTAACATATATATACATTTTTGCGGTCGATGAATCCAAATCCGGTGTCCGTTTGATCCGATCAAGTCTGCGTTAAGGTCAATTCAAGGTCAAATGTAGAGAATCAATTGCTAACAAAGTAAACCAATGTATCTATACGTTTTTGGGGTAGCTTAATCCGAATCCAGGGTCTGTTTGAGCTGATTAGATTTGCTAAGTTCTAAACTCAAAACACTCAAGTATTAATTTATGCGTATTAAAATTTGAGTAACAAATAATATTAAAGAAATAAAGCTTTAACTCTGAGCCCGTGATTTTCGGGTTTATTATTTTCACATGACAAAATTCTAGTATCAGTAAGCCTAATTAAGTAAGCTTTAAACAATATGTCCGTTAATGCTTCAATACTTCATGCACATTAATTTACACAGTGAGTCCTTGTTCGTTGAGATTCTTGAGAAAAGTTTTTCAAGATATGATATAGAGACTACTGCTCACTTTTATGGCATATGTGAAAAAATCTGAGAAGTGTACTCAAAGAAGTACTCAAATTTTAATACGTAAAAATGCTTGAGCGTTTTGAATTTACACGTGAAGGTATTTAGCACACATGATCAGGTCAAACGGTCCACGGATTCGGCTTCGGCGACCCCAAAATGTATAGACATATTAGTTTACATTATCGGCAATTGATTTTGACCTTGAACTGACCATACACCAGATCTGATTTTGTCAAACGAACACCGGATTCGGAGTCAGCAACTCCAAAAATATACAGATATATGGGTTTACTTTGTTGGCAATTGACCTTTTACTGACCTTCAACTACAGCTAATCGGGTCAAACGGACCCCGAATTCGGATTTTATTAAATAATTCAAGTGTTTATACCATTTCATATTGCAGTCTTTTACAGTAATTCTTAAATACTTTACAGATCTCTGAATTTTATTTTAAATCATTTTTTCATAAATAAATAAACCCAATTATACTAATTTGAACTATTTACATAGCGAACTGTACAGTGGCCTAACCTAAGCGAGATCTGTGCATTCGATTATTTTTATCATATTTCTCAACTTTTAAATTAACAATGATATTCATTTTAACAAGAAAAACAGTTAGGGACTTTATTTTCACAGTTCAGTATTAATAGTACCACAACCTGCTACAGTGCTTTTATAATCTTACGGACCCTAATAAGAACATATTTATTCACATAATTTCCTTTAAAATGGTTGAATAACTTGTGTGAGTGACACATTTAAATTGTATTATTTCTAGATTAATAAATAATAAGATACTGTAAGATGCATCCTACCTTTATGTCAGGGAATTTGTATTAAAGTTAGTTAGTGCACCGCACTGTGGAAGTAGGCCGGCGAAAAAATGGAATATTGTTGCAAAAAAAAAAGAAAGGAAGTCAAACGCTGGGGGTAACCAGTGCGGGTTTACAGAAGAAGGGAAGCTTGGAGGTCGGCATTTTAGTCATTAGAAAGCACGTACTTTCGACGTGCATTTCAGGTTTCTAGGCAGAAAAGTGTCAGACGAGATTTAACATATCAAACTCGTCCATAAGTTTATTTTGAGAAACAAGGGTGTGAATGTTTCCAGTGTGGTGTATTAAAGGGAAGGCCTGATTCAAGACAATTGTCTCCTAAGAAGCACGTGGTTCTGGAGAGTATCCCCATTTCTGAGCAGCAGAACGAAAAATCGAACTACCACAACTCATATTATTGCCACTTAATAAAGTAGGTTTAACGATATGATTTAGAGCTATTTACTTTATCCAACTACACAATAATCCTTCCCAAATATCTGAGATTTCACAATTAATTTAAATTCATTATCACGTTAACACAAGTTAAAGGATTTTTTAAAGAGCGAAACATAATTGTTAGCTTTGCTTAATAATTTTTAACAATAATTGTAATAAGATTTCTTCGATTTCGTAAAGAATGAGAAATAACATTGTAATTGCAGAATTAAAAAAGTGTGTTATCAGATTTCATGGTTAATTCAAAAGTTGAGAAGCACGTGATTTTTGTTACTACTTTATGCACTTTCAATATGCCGATTAAAATAGCAAATAGGAAACATATACAGGGTGTCGCGCTTAAATGTGGTACAAGCCTGTAACTTCCTTATATTTTGGCCGATTTCAAACATTTTTTTTAGAATGTAGGGCAAAAAAATTCTATCTAACTAGGCTATTGACTATGTACTTTAGGTACAACGTAACAGAAATTTTATTGTTTGATATGTTCAATTGACCCTAAAAAATTATAAAACCGCGGAGTGCCACCTTTTAAAGGGGAGCGTTTTTGAGAACGAAGCAAAAAGGTGGTATTTTCAGTTTTTTGAGTTTTACTCGAAAACTATGCATTTTTTCACTATACCTACTTGTCAGCAGAAAAGATGTAGCAAATTGAATTTCCCATGGAAATGAGACCTTCTGAAGTTAAAAAAAAAATTTATTTTTAACAAAAATATGCCCAAAAAACGAGTAAAAAACCGAAAAAATGCGTTTTTTCTTCTTTTTTGGTTTTTGGCCAACAACTTTTTTCTGAGAGCAGTTAGGTATAGGCATTGCTTCACAGAAAAAAAGGTAATGTTTTTTCCTTTAAAATAAGCGTTCATAAAAGTACCTACGACTAATAGAAACCGAGATACATTGGATCAAAGTTGGTTACTTTTTGGATTTTTGACCAATTTTTGCCCTTTTTTGATGATTTTCGTCTTATAACTTTTGTCTGAGTTAATTTAGGTAATGCCATATTCAAATGAAAGCTGGTTTCAAGACCTTTAAAATGGTGCCTGGTAGAAGTTTGTACAATTAAAATCAACCGAGATATGTCAATTTAACCTCTTTTTATAAAATTTTTATTACTTTCGGTATTATTTTGTCTAGTAAATTTATGTTTGTAAATATGAAAGTTAAAATAAGTTTCTAGGTGATTGGATATTATTATTTATTTATTTAATTATTTAACTCTTTCAGTCTCAGTGGTGCATAAAATGTACCGCCGTTTTTTATTCCTCCAGGTCTTGGTGGTACACATTTTGTACCAGTTATTCAAAAACATTCCCCAACCGTCACAGCCGACTTAGAATTGTACCCCCTTTTTAAATGTGTTATATTGGTTGCCTACTAAATATTGTTCTGAATATATTTGATTTTGTGACCGTTGGCTTTGTAGAGAAGCAGTTTTAAGATTAGATTTTATAATCTCTTCATGTGTTTCAATATTCCCCTGATTTTAAAGTAATATAAGGTGTTTTAGTTTAAAATTTTTATATTAAGCTTGAAATTGAAGTGTATTAGTGCAGATCAGAACACTGGTAAGTACAAAGTAATATTCGCTAACATAATTTTTGATAAAATTGGGGCGGTACAAATTATGTACCACCATGAATATTGACCAAAATTATTACTTTCGTTTTATTGTGTTTTTATATATTGTAATGGACAATATAAATTTGAAAGGCTGGACTAGAGCCAAATTTTTGAAAGAAAACCTTCCTTCAGATGAAGATTCAATAGTTAATGGCGAACTAGATAATCAATAGGATGAGGAAGAATTTAATTGTACTGCGGAAGTAGAAGATAATATGCAACAAGAAGATGATATTGTTTATGCTTCTGTAGAAGATTCAGAATCTGATGATTCTGAATGGAATGTACCTCTGAATAAAATTAGGGATATACAGAAACAGTTGCAGTATGATGCGGATCCTATTTGGGGCCAGACCAAAAATATAATGGAACCACCTGGTTTTGATCAATATTCAGGAGTAACGCGAGTTGTTCAGGAAATTCAGATTCCATCTCCATATAAGTTATTCAGGCTACTATTTGATGCTGATATAATTAACAATATAGTGTTCCAAACAAATCTTTATCAAGATTATCATATTAGAGTAAGAATTTTTTAAGTACTTACATTTAAAAATTATTTAACAATCATTTCCCTTCAGCCATAGTGGTACAGACCCTGTACCACCCCCTCAGGAGTCTGTGAGCTAACACACGGTCACAAAATCACCTGTAATGTATTTAGTTTTAAGTATTCTTTACAATAAAATCATTATAATTCACAAAAGCTATAGTTTAATTTTTTGTGACGCTTGGGTAAAAAAATTAATATAATTTCTGTGCCTGAAAGAGTTCAACAGATAATCATATACATATATCTTATACATTTTCAGTTTCATTTAGTATATTTTCAATATTAATATCAATTTCGTCGTCGTTCTCACAATTTATTCCCATACATTCTTTGCAGAACATTGAACATTTTATTCCCAACTTTCGGCAGCCACAGTTTCCTTGGCATCATTAAATCCATTTACAGGCTATTTTTTCAAGTAAATTTTCAGGTGCAGGATATTTATTATTAAAAATGGGAACTAGCACATTTATGGAATTTTTCTAACCCCAATCAAGGGGATTTAAAGTACAACCATTTCACTGTTGTATCTGAAAATATACTCTTAACCCATGATGTTCGAGACCATCAGTTGTTGGAGGCAATCGAGATAAGGTAAATTTTGCACTTGTTGAATATTTTTGAAATAATTTATATCGACAAGTTTTTAGGCTGTCAATTTTTGAATTATACATTATAGTTACAATGCATTCAGATGCAGCAGTGATATCCTCAACACTAGCATTTTCAAGTAAAAATACATCGAGATAATTTGTTAATTTTGAAACATTCTTATTTACAAAATTGAAAATTTTTTTTTTCCAAAACCAAAAAATGATCACGTTGTGTCGCATCCACTAAACGCGTGAATAAAGCCTAAGTATTTGTAAAGATGTTTGAAAAGAAAGCTATTATAGTTGTACAATTTAGCAGTTACATTTCCAATACTCGGTTTCAAAAATATACAAGGTCCCGAGGTAATGGGCCAAAATTCATGGGTAGATTCCCCAAGCAAAAATATTGCGATTTAGTGGAACTTACCTTAGTCCAAAAGTTGATAGTTAAAGAGATACAGGGTGTTAAATGTAAAATATTATTTCAATTATTAGCCAAAGCCAAATATCTCGGAAACGGTGCAAGACAGCTACTTTCATAAAGTATACTTTTTTGTGTAAAAAAAGTTGGAAAATAAGAATTTGATACCAAATATGAGATACCGTAAAGTGCAAAAAAGTTATGTCGTTTTCAACTCATTCAATCTACGGCAGCTGGCACCCTCTATGAACCAAAATGTGAACAAATTTCAATTCCTCTACCCAAAGAACCCCAAACTCCAAGATTTGTGTAGATATTTGCATTTATTAAGAAATAAATCGAAATAAATTAAAATAAAATTTTACATTTAAGACCCTTTATCTCTTTAACTATCAACTTTTGGACTAAGGTAAGTTCGGCTAAATCGCAATAATTTTGCTTCGGGAATCTACCCATGAACTTTGGCCCATTACCTCGGGACCATCCTGTATATTATTGTATTCTTGTGGTAATATTGATAAAATAATAATTACAACATTATTTCGGAGGCCATATGTTTTGCTGCATTTACCACAAGAACATCTGCGTCTTCTTCAGCTTGCTCAGATTCTATATCCACACTTCAGATTCACAAAAATAAATTTATTAGACAAAACAATATCGAAAGTAATAAAAATTTTATAAAAATAAGAAAAAGTATCGTTGGTTAAATTGACATATCTCGGTTGATTTTAATTGTACAAACTTCTAACAGGCACCTTCTTAAAGGTCTTAAGACCAGCTTTCATTTAAATATAGCATTACATATACCTAAATTAACTCAAAAAAAAGTTATAAGACGAAAATCGTCAAAAAGGGTCAAAAATCCAAAAAGTAGCCAACTTTGATCCAATGTATCTCGGTTTCTATTAGTCGTAGGTACTTTTATAAACGCTTATTTTAAAGGAAAAAAAAATAACTTTTTTTTCTGTGAAGCATTGTCTATACCTAACTCCTCTCAGAACAAAGTTGTGGGCCAAAAACCAAAAAAGAAAAAAAAACTCATTTTTTCGTTTTTTTTGGGCATATTTTTGTTAAAAATAATTTTTTTAACTTCAGAAGGTCTCATTTCCATGGGAAATTCAATTTGCTACATCTTTTCTGCTGACAAGTAGGTATAGTGAAAAAATGCATAGTTTTCGAGTAAAACTCAAAAAACTGAAAATACCACCTTTTTACTTCGTTCTCAAAAACGCACCCCTTTAAAAGGTAGCACTCCGCGGTTTTATCATTTTTTAAGGTCAATTGAACATATCAAACAATAAAACTTCTGTTACGTTGTAGTTCCTTTGTACCCTTTTTTTTGACATAGTAAATAGCCTAAACTGTGATACTGCTGTTTTATTAATGCAATACTCGGCCAACTAGGACGCATTTTTTTTTTTCGTCAAAACAGCTAATTGGTATTAATTTCATAGTTTCATCATATTCGATACATCTTCAGACGAGCACTAGTTGGCCGTGTATTGCATTAATAAAAAACCAGCAGTATCATTGTTAGGTAGAGTTTTTTTACCCTACATTCCTTAAAAAAATTCTTGAAATCGGCCAAAAAAATAAAGAAGTTAGAGGCTTGAATCACATTTCGCGACATCATGGAGTGCTCGCCTGAAGATGTATCGAATTTGATGAAACTTGGTAATAAGACGTTTTAAGGGATGCTGAGTGAGAATACGTAATCTGTTTTTTGGAAAAAAAATTGCTAATACCAATCAACTGTTTTGATGGCAAGAAATCGCGTCCTAGTTGGCCTTGAATTGCATTAGGAAAATCGGCATTATCACAGTTAGATAGAGTTTTTTTACCCTACATTCCAAAAATATTAATTTTTGAAATCAGCCAAAAAATAAGGAAGTTACAAGCTTGTACCACATTTAAGCGCGACACCCTGTACAATGTGAATTTTTCGGTGAACCTACAACAAATCTGAATTTTTTCCAATTTGGTCCTGTAGTTTTCGAATTGTGTTTTTCATTCTCTATTGGTCTTCAGTGGTACCTATATAGTGCATAGGGTAAATCAAATAATTCTCACAAATGATTCCAAAACTGCAGCTAAATTAATTATTGGTGGAAATTAAAGAGTTGCCCTGTATATCCACAAATTTTGATCCAGAACTTTTTAAGTGGTTATTCCATACAGCCGGATTAGAAATTTAATATTAATTCTTTTTCACCAGTAAGAAAATAGTAAAATCATCATAACATTACCTTAATCAAAATGATCAAAATAAATTTATTAGAAGAATTAGAAATTTTAAGAGACATGAAAAGAAATCCTATTAATTGATTTAATATTCAGAATAATTTAAATTGTAAATTTAAGACTTCGTTTCCTTGCAAAAAAAAAATTAAAAGGATATTCGAAAACTTTCAACAAACAAGACTGAATAGACAGAAAAAGTTGGTGTAAGATAACGAAGATGCGCAACTTAATATATTACTTTCTGTGCAAGAAAACCCAATTTAATGATGATCCTAATTGTTTAAGAAACATCCAGTAGACGTACGAGTCTACTTTTGCTATGAATAGCATGACAAATAAAAAAAAAACAGGTATTGGGCTACAGAAAACCCATTCTGTTACAGAGAATTTAGATTTCAAAGGCGCCAGGCCGTTAAATTTTGATGCGGACTAATGGATAACAAAATTATTGGACCCTATTTTTTTGATCAAAACTTGAATGGGGACACATATTTAAACTTTCTCGAAAATGACAGAAGATTTTCTAGATACATTATGGACATTTTATATTCCAGCAGGAGAGAGACCCACCCCATAGCAACTTAAGAGTTAAGAAACCAGTTTAATTATCCCAACAGTATTAAACCCAATTACAGGAATACCCAATTACAGGAATAAATGTAATGTAGTGTTTAAACTAAAAAATGCATAAAATTGTAACTTCCGTTAAATATAGCCTTATTTTCAAAATTAATTTATGAGCCATTATTATTTAGTCCAAGAGATATGTCAAAATATTATTATTATTATTATTTCTTTACTATTTGCAGGAATTTATGAGAAAAGTTAATTTATCAAATTGGGAAAACACATAATAAAATTTGTCTCTGAAATACCTTTGTCAACGTACATTTAAATCAATATGAAAAATACCTGTTAAATAATAACCAGTATCTAATTGATTGATATCAGTCGGTATATTCTGAGAGTGTCGCTCATTGGTAGGATTAAACTGTGGTTGACCGGAAAATCCAACTTGATTCCGATCTCTTGCTCCTGGAGGAAGTAATTCAACGCCAGGAAGACGTGTGCTTTCTGGTTTGTCTTTGAAATATTGCCCAGAATTTGGCAAATTTCGATCATTTTCATATTGTTGAAGGCTAGGTGATGGCAAATTCGTTACTCCACGTTGCTGGTCTTGAACTCCTCCAGCTTGCTTCTCGTTTCTAACAGTATTACTTGTAAATTTAGATATTTCTTGATTAACACTGCTTGCTACAGTTGTTGGGTTGAAACCATAATCCTGACCGTTACTTGCAGTAAGAGGTGCCGCTTCCTTAAAAGCTGGATTTTGAAATTGAAACGATTGCTCTGTCAAAGGTTTTTGAGTTGTGATATAACCGCAACCACCACAAGCCGGTTTTATAGTAGATTGTGTAGTGAAAACATATGATCCAGATTTTTGTGTTACGACTTGAACTGTTTGGGAACTTTGTCGAGTTGGATAAATAGGGTGTAATGGTGCCTGTGTTGTCACTATGGTTTTAGGAGGTTCTAATTGTTTCTGTTTGTTTAAATACTTCCCTGCATCTGGAGAAATTGGTCCAATCGCAGGGGACCCATCAAGTGCTGAAAGTACATTGTTATTAAATTTCTTTAACTTTATTTAATTGCTGAAATTTATAAAACGCACTTTTTCATGTTATTTAAATGTACAGAATTTATCTCTTGATTGTGTGACAGTGTAAAATGGGTAACAGTATGAGAATATTAAAAAAAGGAGCAAAAGGAATGCAAAAAAAAATTAAAAAGAGGAGGAACTCAAAAGGAATTCTTCTACATAAAGAAGACCTGAAGATGAAAGTTCGTTTGAGAAACAAGGATGTGGAACTTTCCAGTGTGGTGTTCCAAAGGGAAGGTTCGTATCAAGACAACAGCCTACTAAGAAGCACGTCTGGAGCGTATCCCCATTTTTGAGTAATAGAATGAAAGCGAATTCACAAATCATATTACTGCCACCCAATAAAGTAGTATCTACCGGGTGACCACGAGATTACTACCCAGGCTCTAGCTTGGGCACGAAAAAAGATATCGATTTCAAATTTTGGGCATGCGTATCATTAAATTTGATGCAAAATTTAATCATAAAAACAACTGAAGGTCACTTCCTGTTTGACCGGAAATGCCATAAACTTTGTTAATTCATATGGAACACCCTGTATATTATTTTTATTTTCAATTCTGTTAAAGAAGCTAACACTAAAATTTATATTATGTCCTATACCTATCTTTGACAATTTCCGAGAAAATCGCGGTTTAAAATGTCATATGTGTCATTTATATAATCCTTTTGAAAGAAAACAAACGAAGTATGGGACAAAGTCATATGATATCTTTAAGTTATTTTAGAAGTACTAAAGTCTGATATCATAAAAATGTCGCACTTCCGGCACATCCGGAAAATACCGGAAGACATCTTTAATACCAAGTAACTGCAATAATTTTAATGGAATGCCCTACAACTAATTGAGAATTCGTATTCTACAAACAATTTCGAATCATTTTTATGTACACTTCCCTATACCTAAAGTTCGGAGTTTTTGAGATATTAAATGTTTAATGTAAAAATGTCATCTGAACGATGCATAAATGGAAAACGATATAATCAGTTAATGCATAGATCAGAGGTGCCTAGGAATCTTAATTTTAATATGGTTGCTATGACAGGCTTTTGTTTTTAGACGCCATATCTTCATAATTACTTAAGATTCCTAGGCACTTCTGATCTATGCATTGACTGATTATATCGTTTTCCATTTATGCATCGTTCAGATGACATTTTGACATTAAACATTTAATATCTCAAAAACTCCGAACTTTGGGTATAGGGAAGTGTACATAAAAATGATTCGAAATTGCTTGTAGAATATGAATTCTCAATTAGTTGTAGGGCATCCCATTAAAATTATTGCAGTTACTTGCTATTAAAGATGACTTCCGGTATTTTCCGGATGTGCCGGAAGTGCGACACTTTTATGATATCAGACTTTAGTACTTCTAAAATAAGTTAAAGATATCATATGACTTTGTCCCTTTCTTCGTTTGTTTTCTTTCAAAAGGATTTTATAAATGACATATTTGACATTTTAAAGCGCGATTTTCTCGGAAACTGTCAAAGATAGGTATAGGACATAATACATATTTTAGTGTTAGTTTCTTCAGCAGAATTGAAAACAAAAATAATATACAGGGTGTTCCATATGAAATAACAAAGTTTAGGGCATTTCCGGTCAAACAGGAAGTGACGGTCAGTTGTTTTTATGATTAAATTTTGCATCAAATTCAATGATACGCATGCCCAAAATTTGAAATCGATATCTTTTTTCGTGCCTAAGGTAGAGCCTGGGTAGTAATCTCGTGGTCACCCGGTATACGATTTACAGTTACTGTTATTTATTTTATCCAACTAGATAATGACCTTCCTAAATGCCGGATTCAAATTCACGTGTGAATACTGATTCTAAAATAATCAGTGGCGTTGAAATGCTACGGTTTTCAGTGACAGTAGTAGGTATCGTTAATTTATTGGTTCACGCTTCGACAACTTGTATTAACTGAAGATACAAGTATTTAAGTAGATGTAATATATTTGTGAATGAATTTTGACTTAAAACGAGCTAAGGAACAACTCTCCGAAATTATAAGACGAACTGGGGAATATCCCGTGTAAGATTTTATTCTAAAGCTATAAATTAAAAGCAATAAAATGCAAAAAGATACTTACGATCACTAATCCTAATATTCCTCATACTCAAAATTTTAAAATTCCCATTTTCGTCGGTTGCGTAAACAGTAACGTGGTAGACACCGTCAGCCGTGATAAAGCCAAATTCGCCTTGCACTATTCCAACTTGATCTGAAAAATTATAGGTAATAATAATTATTATCTAATAACTTAAAAAAGATAATGTTGTTTCATATAAGAACTTACACAGTGTTATAAAAGCTCTATAACAAATTTTGATAGATGGTTGCTGGGTTAATTTCAAACATTTTTTCTTATATGAACATAGGTCCGATTCGTTTTTGTTTAGAAGTTACAAGCATTTTAAAAATATAATTTCATATTTCAATAAAAAATTATGGTTGCTATAATAATAATTATTATTCGTGTTTAAAGTTGAAACGTTAGTTACCATTTATTAACCAAATTAACAAATCTTAAGAGTATAAAAATTGTTCAAAATGTCCACCCTCGGCTCGAATGCATTTTGGTGAACTGTACAGGGTGTATCTTAAATGATGACTTTAATTTCAAGGGGTGATTCCTTGTCATATTTTAAGCAAAAAAGTGTATATGAACATCAGTCCGCAAGTGCTTCGTTACCGAGATACAGGGTGTCAAAGTTGGGAAAATAAATCGCATTTTCTTAAATATCTTTCGACTGATTCGAAATAATTTAATGAAATTTCATACACGGGGGTTTTTTGGAATGACAAATTCAAAGCTGTGGTCAATTTAGGTGTATTTTTTTGAGGGCGCCACCGGCAACGATTTCGGCCTCTTTAATCCATCGCAACTTTTTTCTGCTACCCTGTATGCCATTTTGGACTAGAATAATCGATTCTCCTACCTTATCTGCTTAAAAAAGATTTTAAAGAAATGTTTTTTTGTTGAATACAAAAATTCCTGTGATAACAAAATTCCGATGATATTTGGCATTAAAAGTGACAAGATACTGTCAGTTGACTATCTTTTAGTGTGCAGTTAACTATGAATAACGTTGAACAAGCTCAAATACATTTCATTTATGGGCTAGCAGATGGAAATGCTGCACAAGCCCGTCGAATTTACCAGGAACGATTTCCCAATAGACCACTTCCATCAGAAAGAACTTTCATAAGGCTCCATGCTAGACTGTGCGAAACTGGATCTTTAAATGCTCACGCTGAACGTATTGGTAGACCGAGAACAATAATGACACCACAACTAGAAGAAGCAATCCTACAAGAAGTGGAAGCTAATCCGTCAAGTAGTACGCGAAGATTATCTGAACAGTTTAACATAAGTCATCAAAGTGTTTGGAGGGTTTTGCACACAAATTTACTTTATCCGTACCACATTCAACGCGTGCAACCACTGTTGCCAAGAGATTTTCCTGCACGGTTAGATTATTGTCGATGGTTTCTCCAAAAAACTGCGCAGAATCCCAACTTTACGTCTAAAATTCTGTTCACAGATGAGGCAACTTTTTCACGGGATGCCATCATAAACTTCCACAATAATCATTTTTGGAACTATGAAAATCCCCATGTTATTGGAGAACGTGGATTTCAGCAGCAGTTTTCGGTGAATGTGTGGGCCGGAGTTATTGGTGATCATGTCATCGGACCGCATTTTCTTCCTCCTCGACTGAATGGTGAGACTTACAGACAGTTTCTAGCTGAAACATTGCCTGGTCTGTTAGAAGATGTACTACTAGCAACCAGAAATGACATGTGGTTTATGCACGACGGGGCACCTGCTCATTTCAGTCTTGCTGCTCGCCAACATCTTAATGACACTTTTGCTCAGCGATGGATAGGTCGGGGAGGACCTCAGCCGTGGCCAGCACGATCTCCAGACCTAAATCCTCTGGACTATTTCTTTTGGGGACATCTGAAGTCGCTTGTTTATGCAACGCCAGTTGTAGATGAAAATGATTTAAGAAACAGAATTGTAAATTCTTGTAATGTCATACGCAACACTCCAGGAATTTTGGAACGTGTGCGACAGTCGATGAGCAGAAGATTACATGCTTGTATTGACAGTGGCGGTTCTCATTTTGAGCATTTGATTTAATTCAATTTTTATGATATTTCCAGCTCAAGTAAGTTTAAATGCGTTTTTCATGGAAACGGTTGCTCCTAGCTACTTCATTATTGGCGCCCTCAAAAAAATACACCTAAATTGACCACAGCTTTGAATTTGTCATTCCAAAAAACCCCCGTGTATGAAATTTCATTAAATTATTTCGAATCAGTCGAAAGATATTTAAGAAAATGCGATTTATTTTCCCAACTTTGACACCCTGTAACGAAGCACTTGCGGACCGATGTTCATATGCACTTTTTTGCTTAAAATATGACAAGGAATCACCCCTTGAAATTAAAGTCATCACTTAAGATACACCCTGTAGATTCCGTCTCAAGTGATTTCAACATCGTAGGCAAGCTACTTCAAAGGTCCCCATAAATAAAAGTCTAAAGGATTTAGATATAGGGAACGCGGTGGCCATGCTATTTGACCTTGTTAACTTCATTCATTCGGGATATGATCATTTAACCAAGCAGTTATTTGTCTCTCTTTATGTGGTGGTACACCATGGTGCTGATATCCGATTTTTGAACAATATTATGCCCTACGTCATCAATGAAATAAAAAAGATTGTTTGAAGTTCTATACAGATCTGCATTTAAACGATCATTTAAAACAAGTACAGGCAGTAAATTATTGTTCAAAATGCTGCCACTGAAACGTTACTGAAATTTAATTGTTGATCTAATTGTATGCGGATTTTGTAACGCCCAGATATGTTCATTATGATTATTATTTATGCCGTCCCAAGTAAAACACGCTTCATCAGACCACATGACAAGCGAAAAGAATCTTATCATTCTGTGCATGTTGTTGAAATAACCAGCCAGCGACAAAATTCTAATCGCTGTGGAGCATCTCCTTCATGTAACGCTTGTACATTTTGGCGATGAAAAGGATGCAACATTCCTCTGTTCAATACATGCCATACAAAATTCGATGATAAAAAAAGATTATTTGTTATACACCGAACACTAATTGAAGAGTTGTCATTCACTTCTGTAGAACGAATGGCCTTTTCTGGAGCGGGGTTACCTGCTTATTGAAGTCTACTAGCTGTTTTACATTGACAATTTATTGATGAATAAATTGACGAAGTTCTTGTGGTTTTACACTGCTACAGACTTTGTCAAGTTTTTTGTTACCTTTTCACTCATAATTGTAGTGATACAACAGCGGTACCGTTTTGACACATATTATATAAATATTAGTGTTTGTAAGTAACAAATCAGTAAAAACAACACAAAACTAGTACGACGCCACACAATTATTTACATATCCCAATAACATAACCTCATTACTGATCTGAGGCTGGAAATCTGTTGGGTTGGTACTTCCGAACTTCACGAAGAAATTGACGAAAATTAGAACATGCTCTAATTCGTCAAGAACTTGAATGCATTCATGAAGTTATTTGACAGCAGATTTGGTGCATTACACTTGTCCAATTTCTTGATGAAGCGACTTCATGAATTAATTGATCAATAAATTGTCAATGTAAAACAGCCATACGAAATGATGCACTAAAGACTGTGTGGGCAAGTTGATGTCTATTTGGGTATCTTCGTCGGTATTTTCGGGCGTTCCCATTGGGATACCCATATACAGGGTCGGAAAGTCCCCATGGTTCATCGGCCGTTACGTGAGAGCGATAAAGTAAGTCATAGAAATCCGTGCGATAGAGAAAGATAGCTATAATGAAGGCGTCTAATAGTCAACGTCCATTGCGCCCTTCCACTAATAAGAAGTGGATTTTATTTGTGGAAGGGTGAACTTATTATTATTAAAATAGGCTAGGACAGAGGACTTACGTCCTATTATGAACAAAATTAACAAAATATGTACAGCATAATAGGTATAATAAACATAACATATTAAAGAATTAACTTAATACTAATATTTATTACAAAAGGTGAGCATGTAGTCTACTTTTAAATGAATTAAGCGTTGGTGCACCAATTATTGAAGATGGTAAATTGTTCCAAATTGTAAAAATTCTGTTGGACAGGAAGTATTACCTAGCTCTAGATTTAAAATTTTCTTTTTTTAACTTTAAGTCATGACCACGGAGGCGATCAGAATTCAACGAGTAGGTTGAAGACAAGTTGCCGAAAATAAATTTAAGAATTTTAAGTCATAATTAAATCACCTCGAAGGCGACGCTGCTGGAAGTCTGAGATGGGCCATGGAAAGTCGTTCCACATAGGAAGGTCGAACTCGTCCAAAAGAAAGCCTGGTCGCAGAGCGTTGAACACTTTCTAAGGATTGCTGGCCTCGAATGAGATCAGGGCACCACACAGAACCAGCGTACTCAAGAATTGGCCTCACATAACTGCAGTACAGTTTACACGACACATCAAATGATAAATTAGTGAACGACTTTCGCAGTAAATGGAGTTTAGAGTTAGTACGCTTACACACAAAGTTTACATAATCTGACCATGACAAATTGGAGTTTATTATGACACCTAGGTCTTTGTGAGAAGTCACTGTTGTTAGCACTTTTCCATGTAAGGAATACACACAATTGGGATTTCTACGGCCGATATGGAGAACAACACACTGTCTGCATTTAGCGGAAGTAGCCATATATCGCACCAGTTGGCAATGGACACTAAGTCTCGTTGGAGGGACACATGGTCACTATCAGGAATGGCGTATAGTTTAGTATCGTCTGCGTAGAAAGATACCTTATTCTTGACGAGATATTGAATATCACTGGCATATATAAATAAACAATAGGGACCCTAAAACTGAACCCTGAGGTATGCCGCTGACGACCGGTCTATCACCGGAGAAAGATTCACCTACTTGTTCCCATATTTAATTAGCCATACCCATAAACAGGTCTGGTCGAATTAAATGTGGAGATGATAGAAATGTATACGCTCAGGTGAAGAATGCGAGCGCGTCCAATGGAAAACGAGCACAGTTGTATTGGGCTTCTGGGCAATAAATCACAGCAGGTGACAAATAGTTCATAAATTGCCCAGCAGTGCAGTGCAGCAGTGCGGAATTTGGTGTGAATCAGGCAATTTTAATTTATTATAGGCACCTCC